GGCTGACTTGTCTTCAAACAGCCAACTAGACTTTCCGTCATCTTTGTTAGCCGATCGTCCCGATCTCGAGCGACGTTGTTCTCCAGATTGATGTTGTCGAGACCTTCATCGAGGTTCGCGAATGGATCGAGGTCATCTTCGTCCGCTATGATGAAAGAGTTGGCCATCTTGGATGTGATCATAGCGAGACTACTGTGCTCACTACCACTATCACTCTCGGCTCGACTAGGATTAGCAAGTTGACTCTTGATATCACCAAAGACATCAGAGAAATCGTCGCTCTCGTTCTCGGCATACTTTTGAATCTCAATCTGCGACTGCGTTCGTTGTAGCTTTCCTCGCGTGGATGTTGAGCTTGACGATCTTTGATGAATGTTGCCATTTGACTTGAGATCGCGTGTTGACTTGGGTCCTGCTTTCAAGTCGCTCGGATGGAATAAGCGTGGAGAGAAAGTGTCAGAGGGCGGGCTGGAATTGGTGACCGCTACTTGTCTTGATGCCGCGGCTGGTGGGTGCGCGTATTGCATGGACGCCAGTTTACGCTCAAAAGCACCCTCGTCAGCTGGCATGAGATCTGAATAGTCTTCGACAGTGTCCTCACGAAAGAGCTGACTAGGCCGTGCTGGCGCTTTAGGCTTTGGCTTTGGGGACTGCGCAGCCTTTGGTGTGCCCCGTAGGAATGCCGTTCTTGGCTGCTCATATCTATCCTCATACTCTGACGTAGAAGCGTTGGAATTCGATCTTGAAGATGTGTTTGAGGAGGAAGCAGACGTCTTGGGTCTACCATTGGCGCCTCTCGACCTCTCGGCTGCTCTGTGACCTGACGCTTTTGGAAAGCTTTGGAACTGTGCCATGTTCATCGGGCTCTTCACTGTGGCCTCTCCATCCCCGAACTCGGGCATCTCCGTGACCGACTCAAAGCTGGCGAAAGCCTTGAGCCTGTCACTCGAAAAGAGCCCACCAAAGTTGTCCTGTGGCTTAAGGTGTGGCATCTGCAGGGCACGAGGCGATATGCTTTCGGCAAAGTCATTATCCCAGTTATCGTCATGCTCTAATTCCGGCGAGCGGAACGATTCTGCGGTAGGTCTGTGCTTCGGGATGTTGAGATTAACGTTGGCCGGGATCTTACGAGATGAAGCACCAGCACCGTTGGCGGCAGCAGGGGACGCCTTCTGCAATCCCGACACAAGACGAGAACTCCGGCGAAGGGAGCTGGGCGACTTTAATGCCTCGTTCCATTCCTGCACGGACTTGACTGCTTCCTGATATTCGGTAGGTTTTGTGGGTACTGCAGGGACAGTACGCTTGGCACTGAGGATCCATGGGTGCTTGAGGAGGCGCTTTGCGGAGATGCGGAGCGTGGGATTCTTCTGGAAACACTCCATGAGGAACTCGCGCAGCAGCTACAAGGGTCAGTATCTGAAGTCATAGGGTCTGGCGTCTATACATACCGGAGAGGCACTGCCGGGTATGGGTGGATGCTCATCGTTGACAATTCTAAACAGGGCTTGCATGGGCTGCAGCTTGTGGTAGGGCGGCTTTCCTTCAATCAGCTCGATAACCGTGCATCCCAAACTCCATATGTCTGACGACGTAGTAGCTCCCGACAGTTCGATGACCTCTGGAGCCATCCAGTAGGGTGTGCCCACGACGCTCGACTGGTCCAAGCCCGACTGCTTGGTGGCTACACCGAAATCGGCGAGTTTGACCAGGCCCTCCTTGGTTGTAAGGATGTTGGCACCCTTGATATCCCTGTGTATGACACCTTGTTCGTGGAGGTAGAGCAGACCATGGAGGACTTGCGACATGTACAGCGCGACGAGGTTTTCGGGGAACTTTCCGAAGTTCTTGCAGATGCTGTGGAGCGATCCGTTTTCGCAGTACCTAACAGGACATTAGCTCTGGCTCTTGTATATGTGTGTGTGTATGGTTCCACGGCCACTCACTCCAGGATGATGTAGAGACTCTCGGAGCTCCTCACGAAGCCGTGGTACTTGACGATATTCGGATGGTTCAGGTTCTTGAGCAGGTCAATCTCCATCTCCATGTTCTTGAGGTCTGCGGCGCCCAGGTTCTCGAGGCGGACCTGCTTGATGGCGACCGTCTCGCCCGTGCCCCAGTTGAGTGCCCTGTACACGCTGCCGAATGCGCCTTTGCCCAGGCAGTCGCCCAGCTGGAAGTCCTTGAGGCCCGCCACATCTTGGGCTGCCTTTTGCGCTGTCCCTTCTCTGCTTGGCCGTTGTTCGCGCTCGCGGGGTTGGCCGTTGTGGTTGGACGAGGACGACGACTTCTTGGAGTGGCCGCCGGGTGTGTTGGACGAGGTCGAGGCCTGCGACGAGCGCGAGTTGGAGGGCGCATGCGATGGGCGGGAGGGGTGTGAGACCATGTCGGCTGTCCTCGTCTGGCCCCCGGAGCCAGCTGCTACTGTCACGTCCTACGCTGTACTCGAGTCGGCGCCTAGGCGTCTCGGCGTGTCTGGTCGCAGGGCGGGCGTGAGTGGTGGAAGATGGGCGGCGGCGGTGAAGGACGTCGTGCGGTGTGCATGTCCCCAACAACAAGCACCCAGAAATCCAGAGAGACGGCAATGTCGACGGGCAAGGTCGCAATTGTTGTTGTTGCCCATGCGCGACTCGTATTATGCGTTGGAGGGGCCCGTTACCAGCGCAAAGCAATTATCAGTTGGGGATCCTGGCCGCGAAACACGCTCTAAACCAGCCCGGCGAATCTCAGAGTCGCTGCCGCCTGCCAGAGGCTGCCGTTATGTCAAGACTCGTCGCCCGATGCTGCCGGGTGGATTGGGGCAGACGGGGAGTGGCTAGGCACCGCTGTTGTCGAGATGAGGGAATGTCTCGTCGCCGTGTACTCGACCTGCACCCAGTAGCGGCCGCGCCGTTGGGCGCTCGCTTCATGCGCCCTGCCTCACACCGTCCACTCACCATCCTGCCCATCCTGCACCCGACGAGTACAATTCCCGGTCCCAAATTGTGAACATGTACATGCAGCCCACGCGACGCGTCGTCGAGTTTTTGTTTTTCTCAACGGCAAATCTCGTCACAAAGACGCAACAGTCTCAAAGACTTGCGCGTCTTCACGTGCGCTAGCCCCTTGCATACACCATCTCCTCTCCCGTCTACACATGGGTCGTCAGCATTAGAGGCACCATGCGTCACAGCTGGCTATCGCTACCACTATCGCTACCACTATCGCAATCAAGAACCATGCCTATCGCGGGGAATGTGGGGAAACGGCTTCCGTCAGCTTGTGGAAACTCTACCGAAAAGGAAATGCCGGTGCGCGAGTCAAGATGAGACATTCAGGTATAGTGGTATCATTGTTCTTGTCATCAGACTACTTTCAGTCACCCCTCTTATATTCCATCCCACCATTCTCCTCCTAAGAGCTCACAACGTTGAGCACACCACCATCCACGGTCAAAATCTGGCCGTTGACGTATGAGTTCTTGGTGAGGAAGATGACGGCCTGTGCCATCTCCGCATCGCTTCCCGCCCGCCCATGTGGGACGTGGCCCTTCTCCTGGATCTTCTCGTCTGGCAGGTCGCTCTTCTGGTTCTCATCACTCTCCTTTGCCGTCATCTCCGACGGGAAGTAGCCAGGAGCAATGCTGTTCACCCGAATGCGAAGCTGTTGGAACTCAGCCGACATGAGCTTGCTCAAGTGAACGGTTCCGCCCTACAAAAACTATGTGTCAGCATCTTCTTTCAATTACCGACCCTTATAGAACTGACCTTGGCAGCGTTGTAGCTGAAGTGGCCTTGTGCATTCTTCATGATTCCTGACATGGAAGAGATAACGATGACAGAGGCGGAGAGGTGGCCGTGGCTCTCGGTTCCAGCTTGGAGGAGCGGCAGAAGGGCGACAGTGGTGAAGTATACGGCCGTGACATCGGTGTTGTAAGTCTCAGCCCAGCCCTCGAATGTCTCGTTGTCGAATAGCTTCTTCTTCATATCAGTAGCATCGTCGGCGTCTGGGATACCCTTCTCGCCTGAGATACCGGCTGCTGCAATAAGAAGGTTGATGTATTTCTCCTTGGACGCCAACTCCTGATACATGCGCTCCAAATCGTCCTTCTTAGTCACATCGCAAGGTGCAAGTGGTATGATCTGGCCGCCTTGATCCGGGCTGTGTGACTTTGCTGCGGTATCAAGGGCTAGCAAAAATCAGCATAATCATCCTTCTGATTGAAGGGTCAAGAATTGGCCTTACCCTCTTGGCGTCGACTGGTAATGTATACCTGCTAGATGTTAGAGGCGCCCAGTCACAAGAATAAGAAACGTACTTTTGCGCCGTTTGCAGCGAGTGCTTGAGCAGCCATAAGGCCAATACCAGAGCCACCTCCAGTCACTACGCACACATAGTCCTTGACTGAGAAGAGCTTCGCGACATGAAGATCTGAAGTGTTTGCTTTAGGAGGCATTGTGATTCGAAGCTAGATTTTCGGTATGAGTAAAGGAGGAAACTTTGTTGTACTTCAAAGACACGAATAGTTTTGATGATTGAGAGTAAAGACGAAGAGTAAGACGTTCGTAAAAAACGCGTAGCACTTCTGTTGGTGTAGTTTAGCCTATGACGTACAGCCATAAACAGCCCACCTGTCCCAATGCGGCTTAGACTGTTCGCGCTCGTGCCCGCGGACCACAAGTTCTCTTGCCCCATCTGGGCTCGTGCAAAGCGTCTGCCGTTCAGCCTCAGCTCCAACCTTGGAATGTCCGCGCCATCGATTTGGGGACTGCGCCGCTGCTAGTGTGGCTGAATCCTTCAGCGCCTTCCATCGTTCCTGCTCTATCTGACCTTTCTTGTTCGCATGTCATGTCACCGATCGTGATTTAGCACTGCCACCATCAGGCGCCTCATACACGTGCCAGAGCCCTTAAGAGCTGGAGATTATTCTTTTGTTCATATCCTGGATAAATCTTCACGCATGCAGCTGCCATTGTTAAACTTCGCTACATCCACTACTTGGAAAGCATCCACAGCCTCGAATGGCAGCCTCCATGTCGGAACCATCAACCGACCTCACGTTTTCACCAGGGAAGGCTAGTCAGCTCTGGCCCGAGCCTTTGGATACCCCCGGATTGATACCGCGCCATCTCAAACGTTCTGCGACGGGTCAGTTTCCTATCTTGGAAGTCATTCAGCGTTTACTATATCGACTTAAGCCAAGCGGCGTTGGCGATCTCGAAAAGATACTCGCTCTTGTCGGCCTCTACCAAGCTGCGCAACCTGTGTACAAGCATTTGAAAGGCCTCTTGATATGGGCTTTCACTGTTCAAGTCACCATACCCGAGACCGATCTAGTAGCTAGAGAAGTTCTGGCCTGGATGGGGGCGGAGGTAATACTGAACAGCCATACAAGGAGTGCTATGCTAGTCACAGGAGGTTTGCAGGACCCGAACGATGATTTCCATCGTCGTATGATGGTTGCTCGCAACCCTGGGGCTGCAGCGGACAAAGCTGACGAAGAAGTCCTATGCCTTCCACCGATTGGTACACGACTATTCTGGGTTGGCTTTATGTTGGGTTGGATACCTCGCCCGTATGTATTCTCTCGTCGAGGTGGATTTGGTTACCGAAATAACAGTGGTATGACGGGTAACATACTCGACGACAGCGGTCAGCTCCAGAATTCACTCACCGTCATGACCCTTGGATGGAGCCTCAAGCCGCTCCGGGATTTTACTAGGCTTTGTCACGACTTCAGAATCAAGAACCTTACGGGTACCACGACAGTGTATTTTGCGGGTGATCGCACGGACCCTTACGGTAACGGCTGGCAGTCAGTCTCCAAGGCCATTCGAAGGCTCGACACCATTGACATGGATGAAAAAGTCAAATCGGATCTAGTAAGAGACGCAGAATACTACTACAGCGATGAGTCGCGTTCATTCTTCGCCGACTGTGGCATCCCATACCGGCGAGGTTACCTCTTTCATGGCCCACCAGGCACCGGCAAGAGCTCGTTCAGTGCTGCATTGGCAGGCCATCTCAGCTGTGACATCTACCACATCAACTTGTCAACCGGTAGCATCAGCGATGGAACACTTCACCGCCTGTTTCTAGGTCTTCCACGTAAGTGTGTAGTCGTGTTGGAAGACATCGACTCTGCTGGTATCGGTCGCGAACAAGGACCTTCAGATGATCGAACGGAAGCACTTCAGCATGCGCAGGCAGCCATCGATGAGATTCATAGTTCTTCGGGTGCCATGGGGCCTCCACCGCCAGCTTCGAAACGTAGTCGTACTGCCCGCCGAAGCAATACAGTTACACTGAGCGGTTTGTTGAACGCCATTGATGGAAATGCTTCTCAAGAAGGTAGACTTTTGATAATGACCTCTAATGCCCCTGATACTTTGGATGAGGCTTTGACACGTCCTGGTCGCATTGACAAGAAAGTCTACTTCGGAAACATGGACGCTAGCGCTGGGAAGAGTATTTTCAAACGCTTGATTGGACGATCTGCTCTCGCTCGTGACTCGGCTTTTACCATGGAACAGGTTGAGCAATGGGCAACAGAGTTTTCGGATAGGATGCCGAATGATATCTTCTCCCCAGCGCAGGTGCAGAACTACCTCCAAGGCTGTCGAGGCGACCCTATCAAAGCCCTGGATGGTATTGACGCCTGGATTGCGGAGCACAAACGCGATGCTCAGGGACTGGATGATCCCAATAATACTACTCGGGATGGCGTAGCCTCCAACGTTCTTGTCAAAGATATGCCGGATCTAACTGTGTAGAACAATCTTGTCCTATGTGGGACTATCGGTCGATGATCCTGCACAGACTTAGTTAGCATTCCCAAAAACATGACATCTCCAGCAGTTCTACTATACAGTGTCTCCCTAAGACGCGTATATAGTACTCAGAGGCGCAACGCAAGACAAGGATTCCATAGGGTCTGGGCTAAGAGGCGCGTAGATCGCTTTTCAGAGCGCCATATGAACTCAAAAGCAATGTGCGTAGGTTTTTGAGGACTGTCATACACCATGAAAGATATTCGTGTTCCTCTGTCATGCTAATTGCTATCTGGGCGGGAAGAGAGATTATGCTGCCTCCAGTGAACGTTGGCTATCTGACGTTTCCATCGTTACATACGGCAAAATTCATACATAACGTAGTGAATGCATCGGCATATACCTACCCAGTAAAATGTGAAGCAAATCATCGTGAAACCTTCATCTGATTTCTTCTGCGCTTGATTTACCCGGCCTTTCGACCATTCTCTTCTCTCATATCTGCCCTTCCAACCGCAACGAAAGTCAACTAATCAGCGCTATATCAGCCACCATGCCCATCGAAACCCACTACTCGATACTTGGCATCAGCCGTGCAGCCTCCACTGATGATATAGAAGCTGCATACCGTGCCATTTTACTGGCGAACCACCCAGACAAGATCAAGCATTTGGACCCTTTTCAACGTACTTTAGCCGAAGCCCGTCTTCGAGCAGGCAAGACTGCTTACGAAGTACTTATCGACCCAAAAAAGGCCAAGAAGTACGATGACGAAATGGGGATCTGGGGCTCTTTTGGTAACGCCCAAACTTGGAGGAGGCCGTGGGAGCCTCCTGTTGCGCCTGTCGATGCGCCTGAGCCTGTACCTCCTCGTCGGCCCGCCGGCCAAGGGACTACTAGCGATGCTGAAGAACACGAATTTGCGGACGCAAAAGAAGAAGAGACTAGGCCTTATGCTGGAGGGTCTACCTCTTTCCCCACATCGTCTGCCAAAAGAACATCAGATGGCGTGCTGCAAGCAGAGTACCGCTACGGTCTCACACGCACAGCCACAGATGTAGATATCAAGATCAAAGGATGGAATCTTCACCTCCTCCTCTCTACAAAGTTTCATTTTCTCAACACCGTTACTACGCTCCCTACCGGTAGCGATACGCGAACCATTGCTTTTCAACTCCACATCCAACGCAACAAAACCTATCTTTCAACTGACGCAAAGGTTCTAGAACTCATCGTTAGCGTAGGATACATTCCAAATGGAGGGAGAGCTGTCGGTAATATCCAGACTGTCCTGAAGGAAGTAGCGAAGGATTCCTTGACCCTCACTCTCTACATGGCATCCGTTCCGTCTGGAAAAAGCCCCGATACCATGCCACCTTGGAAGTTTGGCTTCGACTTCGATATGAATGGTCATCCTGCGGCCTGGAGTCGCAAACGCGGTACGTGTATGATCTTCACGGTGGATAAGCAGAGTGTGGAGGAGACGCTGGAGGATGTGCTCAAGAATGAAGAGGGTTTGGTGGCGAATGCTTTTTGTGGATTGGGCGACGAGAAGCTTATGGGTGTAACGTTTAAGACGGTTAGGATGTGGAGAATGGCTGCTGTAGGGTATAGGAAGAATGATTTTCTGGAGGGGTAGTGTATACCTTCACAGGGGTTTGCACGGGCCAGGAGAGTTACTACGAGGTGGCTAGATTAACGGAACTATTACGGATGATGTACAGTATATGCCCAACGCCGGCTGACTTCATATGATACCAGACTTATAGTGTTTCATTGTAGTGACCGTGTATTCTTCATAACCCATAGGGACGATGGACTTCTACAAAAGAAAACTATAGAGCTAAGATGCAATGTCCAACACCTCCAAGAGGCCACCTCGTCCGCGATTATTCTCCACTCCCTTGTAGAAGCTACGACCCTGGACAGTGAGCCGGCTATGAGCTCAGCAGACTTCAGTCTGTAGCGTTTAGTTCCGTACCCCAACTGAGTGTTCATAAGCCACTGTAGATGATGGCAACCGCAAAGCTGGTAAACAGAAGAACCAGACCTGGTGAGCTCGTTGCTGCCGCAGACTTGGCATCCAGTCGCTCGAGGCAGTAATCAACGGTGTAGCTTGAGTTCTCAAGGGTGGGGCTGCAAGCAAACGGAACTTCGTATCCAAATGACTTGGTCTCGCATACCTCCTGGTTCTGCTCGAGATCGTTCAATTGGTCTGAAGTATACACGGCATTACCGATTATGACTGGACCAGTGCAGTTCAAGAAGTTTCCGGTCGCTCCGAGCACAATGCTGAGCAGTTTCGCCGGCAGGGCTTGCGGTCCTGGAATTGCCCCAGCGATGGCGACTATGCCTTCGACAAAACCTGGTGACGCATTAGTAGTGACATAACGTACATTGGCTGGATGCATACTGAAAGCTAACTGCTCGTCTGCATCATCCGTGTTCAAGCCCCCGATGGCTACGGACAAATTTGAAGCAGTGGCAGGAACGTCAATTTCCTGTGTGAACTCGACGGTGTCGTTTGGCTTAACAATATCGCCTGCATGAACCTCGCCCACTAGCCAGGAGCTTTTGATGGTATTATTGCCCGTCGTTGAGGCGATAGCTAGAAGCAGGTCATCTTCGTTCACGTCACGGACCTCCTCAACGCGCACTTCCTTGATGATGAAACTGTAGCGGCCAGCGATAGCCACGTTTGCTAAGAGTAGAAGAGATAGCAACAGCCCCTGCAAAGTCGACAAAGGCATGGTATCTACAGCGGGAGGTTCGTACTTCCAAGGGGAGTGAAGTGTAGAGATTGAGGGAAAGTAAATTGAAAAATTGCAGCTGATGCAGACGGGTCTCAGAGATTTGGAGCAGTACAGGTCCAATTTGCACCCCATCGATCAGAGCATCTTGCTCTACTTAAGTTCATGTGTTCAGCCTACCGTAAAGATGCGGATATCAAAGCTAAGCTCCAATGGATGTAGATTTACACACTGAAAGTTGGTGGGAGACCATGGGAAAGCGAACATAGGATTCGATCGAGCCGTTTGCGGCCATCAACATGCGACGTGCATGCGCCTTTGCCAATGAACGCAGCTGGCCCCCCAATTTTGCACAGTATAGCGCCATGATGGTGTGATTGTATGACTCCGCCGCGATGGCTTTCGGGCTGTGTCATCGTATACAGGAACCAAATGTGTCTTCTAGCCTGTAGTCTTGCATGCCATGAGCACTCGAAGCTCACCTGAAATCAAACCTTCCAGAGTACTTGAACAGGGTGATACATCCTGGGCGACAGTTTGTATACACCAGGGTGCGTCCTTTGTCGGTATGCCGGTACCTCGTTCACCGTTAATGAGTTTGAAGCCATTTGCTTTCTATGCTGGAGTACCTAAAAATACCTCAATCCTTAGCCTTGTTACGCAGAGCTCGTCGCGTGGACCAAGAGTAACCAGCATCCCCTCATTTCAAACAAAAGAACTGAGAAGAGAACATGGTGAGTCGGTATTGATGTAAGTGAGATTTTGTGACGTGACGAGAGCGACAGTTTTCAGCCTCTGAGATCTTTGACAACAGACTGTCTCAAGCGAAGTATAGTCGCTAGCGATCGTGACTTCACCATTACAAGGAGCAACACCAACTCAGAATAAGATGCTAAAAGGGTCTAGCCCGTTTTTTCGGGTAATGCCTGACCGGTCAAACTGTTTGTCTGCCGTTCCAGTCAGCACTAATCCATTTGCAAAAGGTACGGCTGAGGATGAAGCCGCAATTGCTAGCGACTATAGGATGCATGCATGCGCAGTCATCGACGCAGTAGGCATTTGAAAAAAAAAACAATTTGTGCCATGGCGCCACAAGCAGTATACAGAAATTTAAACGGAAGGTAGCGTTTCGGACATTGGAGGAGGTGATTGTGTGTATCAAACGCGGCAATCGTAATAACGGTTGGCTTTTCGAAACAATGTTGCAGTGGAGTTGCAAGTGATACCGATATGTTTTCTGGCGAGCTTGTTGGAAGGGACACAGACTGGAAGACGACGATCTTCGTTAGAACTCGCATCAATGCCACTCGCTCTATGCTGGTATATGCCCCTCCAGTTGAGCCTGTGCAGCAACGTGGTACATACCTTCAGAGAAGCAAACTGCCCTTATTCAACGGGGATGAGCAGAGATGTTTAAGCAGGTCAATCGTATCGCCAGCTCCCCGTGTCACATCACTTTATCCGCTTGATTCGCATTAGGAGGAAGGCATATTGATTGGTTGTATCGTATAGCGTTCGGAGTAGGCTGAGGACTTAATCGCCATAGTCCTTATCAGTCGACTGTGAATACCTAGGTAGGCATCCATGGTTTGTAGGCCATTGACGTCTTCGCCCCTGTATCAGCAGTTAGCGCCAGCTACAATAAAACAGCACTAGGTAATATTGCTGTAAGCTTGGCACGGAAGGGCGGTGGAATCAAAAGGCTGAAGGATGGGTCGGATGGGTGATGTTCGGGTCCTGGCGCGTTCCCCTCTGGCGGCTGGAAGCGCTGCGACTCGCGTCCAGGGGCTCCTGCGCTAGGCTTGCTCGGTGCTAACGTGCTTGGCAAAGCATCTTTCCGCACGAGCGTCATATGTCTTGCTGCGTCACCACAAAGCTCGACATTCGCCCTCAAAAACTGAGACACCGGATTCTTGAATCCAGTTCATCGAAGTGATCATTACAGCCGGAAACTACCGTCATTATGAGACGATCACCATCGCGAGACGAAGTCGCTCTTTCTAGCGCAGAGTGGGTTGGCGAGGTAACAAGCAGCAAATTATCCCTGTATACCATCAGAGCTCTGAACGTGATTATCTCGTGATGGGAAACACATATACCCGACCCCACTCTGCCTCTTTTATGTGGACCGGAAAACGATCCCCGTACCTGCGCAGGTACCCCGCGACATTCATTCTAGTGTCCGCTACCCCGCCACGCTATTTGGGAGTAGTTGGAAGAGAAGTGTGATCGTAGGAAAACGATATATGTGAA